CAAAGTGTTTTCTCATTCCTATTAAGTTGTCTTTCCCACCTCTGACATTCCCTCCCCCCCACCCCCCCCCCGGCTGAGATTAGAGGGTGGTGATGGTAAAGGGACCCAGACAATGACCCTTCTGTCTCAGGGGAGATAGCTAGGTGGCCTCCTTCTGCCCCTCATGTTTACGTTTGTAGCCTGAAGCACTTTAAGTTGTATGGGCTTTTGTTTTTTTTGGTCTGTCTATTCTTGTAACTTATTCTCCAACTACTGCTTCCAACTGAAATGTGACCATTAAATGCCTATTCAGGAGGTAGAAAAATGCGGTTTGTGTGTTGGTGGCAGGAGCAGAGACCCAAGGACTCAGAATGATACCCTTCAGCATATGCACCAAATAGCTCCCCTCAGCTCCCTTCCCACCTTTTTAAATTCCTAGTTTGATATTCCCAGAGGTGGCCTAGCTCCACCTCTCTGTGCTGAGGTGCATGACTTTCTCCCTAAAAGGCAGAAGACATGGGTGTAACGACCACCACCTCCACCTCCCTAGCCCCCGCCCCCAACATATATACCTAGGCCTAGGAACATCAAACTCATGTTTATTAGGAGGGAGGGACGGGATGAAGGAGGTCCCCTTGTCCTCACTCTCCTTAACACAGTGCAGAGTCCCCAAGCCTCTGTCCTTCCAGTTAAATGGGATTAGGGGAGTAGGTGAGCAGAAAGCCTTAGTTCTAGCAGCAGGCCAAGAAAGAGGTGGAGGAGGTTTGCATCTTCCTCATCTGAGAGGCTTAATCCACCTGTGCCCCTCGCACTGGGCAGGCTTAGACATCAATGGGCTCCCGGCCTCGGTTCTGCCTCTTCACCACAAACACCCTCTGTCCTGACACGGTCACCAGCAGCGTGTGTTCTCCAAAGACCACTGGAAGGGAGACATACCTTCCCCCACCCCAGGAGAGGGAAGGGAGCACAAAGTTAGTGGGGTGTGATGACTTTCATGGAGTCATAAACAAACTGGCTGGAATCAAAAGCTAAAGAAATTCAATGGTTCAGGGCTTAGAGATCTGAAGATAGGTGGTCTCTATTCAATCCCCTTCCTTCTCTTGCTTTCTCATACTTCTGATGCAGGGGTGAATCCCAAAGGGAAGAAAATGGCCAGAACCAGGGAGAGACCCCAGGAGGACATAGTGGGAGGTTGGTAATAGACAATATTTTTTTCTCTGAGAGGAGTACCCATCTCTGGGAGCACCCCACTTCCTATCACTACCACCAGGGGCAGGGGCTGGGGCTCACCTGACAGGCGCTTGAAGGGTATGTTCATGCTGTGGTGCAGCCGGAAAGCACAGGCTGTGCTGACCAGCTCAGAGATGGCGCTGGCTGCCTGCTCGTCATTCTCTAGATCTCCAGATGACTGCATGCAGACAGAGGAAGGAGGATGGCAGAAATTAGGGGAATTCCAAGAACAGTCACTTTGGCTCTAGCATTGGTACTCTCTCCCTCCATCTTTTAGCACCCCCAGGCCACCCAGTTTTGGAAAAAAACAAGCCTAAAACTGTCCTATGATGGATGTTGTTACCCCTCTTGATACTATGCTGTTTCTCATTCTTATACTGGGCTTCACCTGATAAGCAGTGACTCTCATCCACTTTTTACTGACCATTATTTCCTAATCACTTGAAACTCAATTTCTCTCCTTGTCCCCACTTATTTGATAAAACCACATTCTCAGACATCAGTGCCTACCCACCACTGACTTGTTCAAGGCTTCATCTTTTCCTCAATCTTCCCATTGTGGCCCTATCTGCAGAATTTGAAACAAATAACCCCTTTATCCTTGAACCCCTCCCTATTTCCTAGCCTTTGGGTAATGATGTGACTGTGGCCTAGACGTCCTCTTTTTTGGTGACCATTGCAACTTCTTCCTATCCTCTCAATATGGGCCTCTCACTAAGTTAATTCAGTGTCCTTTGCTCTCTCGGACATTGTGTACCTCGGTTTCCTCCTCTGTAAACTGGAGACAACAGTACTATTTTATGGGCTCTTGAAGGTTACGTGAGATAATACTGGTGAGCTGCTTAGAACATCACCTAGAAATATGTATTAACTGCTGTTATTCTAAGTCAAAGTCAATGTCTAAAGTCAAGCCATCAAAATTCCCCTTACCTCTCCCTTTCCCTGATCAATTTCTTTTAGTAACTTCCTATTAAAGCGCCATCATTCTAGGCTGGAGTCAAAGTCTAACTGGATGGAGAAGTATCTCCTCTACTATCTATCTTAGTCATTACCATGATATATTGATTCTTTAAATTCTCTTCTCTCCTTGCTCCTTCTCATTGCCACCAGCCCAGTCCCATACCTAGATTTCTGTAGCAGCCTCCCTACTGGATCCCCCCCTTTCTGGCCCATCTTCACACCTAATAGAACAATCATGCTCAACAATCTCATCAGCTCGTGTTTCTGTTAAAAAATCCTTCAAAGCTATTACCCTCAAAATTAACCCAAATCTGTTAGCCTGGTCTACAGCCATCCTACCCTGAACAAGCCCGATCCCGTCTGATCTCGGAAGCTAAGCAGGCCCGATTAGTACTTGGGTGGGAGACCACCTAGGAAGACCAGGTGCTGTAGGCATAATAAAATAAAATAAATAAGGGATTGTAAATTGACAAGGTCCTTACAATCTGTGAGGTCAACTAAGGGTTGCCTCACCTAAAAAAAAAAAAGAAAAAACAAAAAAAACCCTATTAACCTGACCTTTAACTTCCTCCACAATCAGATCTTTCCTTACCATATCCTCTTCTTCCCCCAAAATCTTGCCAAATATTTTCAACATAAACCCACCACCAGTGCAGACGGGCTGGTGTTACACTCCCACAAATACATTCACCTCTCAGCCCTGCATGCTTTTTTCTGTTCACAACCAACCAGCCTTTAAGCCCAGATAAATTCTTATATCCTCCAAGGATTCCCTGATACAACACAAATTACAACACAAAGGGTTAAATCCTTAATTTTCAGGACTCCTTTGGTAGTCTTTACCACTCACATTGCTTTCAGCTTTTAACCTTAATAAGCCTTGTCTCTCTAGCTAGATTGAAAACTTCTAGGGCACTAATTCTGTATTGTGGAACAATACTATGGAACAATTCGGTATTGTGGAACAATACTATGGAACAAAATGTAAAGCCTCTTCAATAAATACTGAATACATATTCAAGAATAACTCAGGTAATATCAGTTATCAACAAAACTAACCAGTTGTCTGACGTAGGTAAAGTTAATAAATCCTTTTACCTCAGGACAGTTAGTACACTAGGATTCTAGAGATTTATTTAATTATTGAAAGCCAGGCATTATACCAGTTAAGATCAAGAATTGAGGGAAATTGCGCTAAACTGGGCAACGTTACAAGGGATCACCAGGCCAGGTGTACTTGGGGGGACCCCCGCACTCCCTTGCCCAGAACGCACCGCCAGCACTGCGCCTTCACTCAGCACCAGGTAGCCAAGTTGATCTGGGATTCGCTCCAGGCCCTGGGTCAGTGCAGAAGTCTAGTAGATAAAGACGTTGTCAGTCAGAAACATTCTAGGAGGATGCTCCTGGATACTCTTCACTTGCAACCCAAGTTTCATGACAGTGCCTCCCATCACCCCACCTCTTTTCTCAACCAGGGCCCTTCCAGACCCTCTTCTCTACATGGCCCTCATCCTCTGCTCCTGGGCTCCCTCGGCCCTCCATATCCTACCTCTGCTACCCCGTGAGGCCTTCGCAGTCCCACCGTCCCCTCCAATTCCGCATGACTCCCCAGCCTCCGGTACACCATCCCACAGATCCTTCCTCAACCCTTTACGTCGTCACCCCTCCTATCTCCATTCCCTCCCTCTCCGTCCCACGGCGGGTAGAAGGACAGGGTGGAGTGTAGGCCCAAGAAGGGGCAACCGAGTAGATTAGGGAACAGGGACACGGAACCCCCAGCACGTACTCCCGCGCATGCGTCTTCACTCACCATCGCAGCCTTAGGTGCTGGGGGCGCTCCGGACCAGCTAGGTAGCTTCCGGCTCTAGACGCAGGTCACGTGTTCTCATCAGGCGGTCTTCTGCACTGCGCCGCCGCCAGACTTCAGCCCCGCCCCCAGAATGTGGATTGGAGCTTTGACTACGTCATCAGACTGAATCTGCCAGTGTAGAGAGCCGCTTCCCCCGAGTTGCTGGGTAATTGGTCCTCTACTCTTTAATACACATCTCTCCGCCCCTCACCCCCAGGGCTCCAGGAGGAGGGTGGGAGTGTTGGCGAAAGGTAGGGCGTGGAGGGGCGGAGTTGGTGGGAGGCAAGTAGTCTGAGGGTATGCTCCCTGCCACCGTTGTGGGTCAGGGTTTATACCTGGGTTAGGCTGTCCCCAATTGCGACCACAAGCAAGAGAATAAAGCAAGGGTTCCCAACCCCCCAGGCGTTGGACTGGAACCGTGGGCTGTTAGGAACCAGGCTGCATAGCAGGAGATGAGTGGCGACCAAGCAGGTGAAGCCTCGTTTGTATTTTCAGCAGCTCCCCAGCGCTAGCAGCACTGCCTCAGCTCCACCTTAGATCATTAGGCATTAGCTTCTCATAAGAGAGTTGTCCCTGGTGCCCAAAAGGTTAGGGACCATTGGAATAAAGTTAAATGATGGGACATGCATGTGAAAAGCTTTTCAAATGCTGCTCTTACTCCAGACAGCTCTGTTTAAGACAGGTGTCTCCTGGCAGAATGTTGTGAGGAGGGTGTGGTGGCAAATTGAGTACCCCACTGAGCAAGACAGCTTAAGTACTGAATATGCTCTGCCAGGAAAAATTAGATACAGTACTTTGTAGTTATTTTTAATACATGAGTGTCACATAGGAATTTTCTGTTTTGATTTATATAGTTTCTAGACCTGCACTACTAATATGACTGAGGCAGTGTTGATGAGGTAAAATAAAGGATAATAAAACAAGAAGTAATGTTGAGGGAGGTTGTGGAGAAATTGGAGCCCTTATACATTGCTGATGGGGATATAAAGTGATGCAGCTGCTGTGGAAAACAGCAGTTACTGGAAAAGTTAAATATAGAGTTACTGTATGCCTTATTAGTTCCGCTCCTAGATATATACCTAAGAGAATGGAAAACACATGTTCACACAAAAACTTGTACGCAAATGTTTTAGCCCATTATTCATAATACCCCTGAAGTGGAAACAATGGATAAATAAAATGTGGCATGTCCATACAGTGGATATTATCTAGCCAAATGAAGAGGTGAAGTACTGATACATGCTACAATATGGATCAACAAATGCTAAATGAAAGAAATCAGACTCAAGGACACATACTGTATGATTCTCTTCATTTGAAATGTCTAGACTAGGCAAATTCATAGAGACAGAAAAGAGATTAGTAGTTGCCAGGGCCTGGGGGGAAGGATTAATGGGGAGTGACTGCTAATGAGTATGGGGTTTCTTTTTGGATGACAAAAATGTTCTGGAATTATATAGTGATGATGATATACAACCTTGTGAATGCAATAACAATGATCGAATTGTACACTTTAAAATGGTGAATTTTACTGTATTTGAATTATATCTCAATGATATAAAACTATCACCAGACAGTTGACCAGGATCTTGACAACGTCACGAGAAAGAATTCACGGATAAACAGTGAAGGCAGTGAAGCAATAGCTCATTTATTGAAAGCGGAAGTACACTCTCAAGAGAGCAGGCAAGCTAGAAAGGGCGCTGCCCTGCTTTACTTGTGGGGTAGGGGTTTTAGCTACTGATGTAACTAGGGAGTAGAATATTCATGATTTTGGGTAATGACTTCAGAGAAAGGAGGTGATTTTTCTTGGAATCAGGGAGACATCCCTTTTCTTGCCATGTTTGGTTTTTTTTTTTTTTTGAACTTTTGTGGCATCAGGTGCATGATAGGTACAGCGTTAACCACGATGTTAATTTATTATAATAGCTGTGTAATGAGGGAAGAATTAGGTCAAGGATGAATGAGGTTTGGTCTGCATATGTGTTTTTGTGGGAAAGACCACCTGCATTTCTGGGCCAGGATGCTGTGGGTTTTAGGCTCCTCTAAGGGCCTGTCAGGGCTCATGGAGACCACATCTGTGCCCCTGTGGGTTTCTTTCTTTTCTACTCACATCTGTCTACTCACCTATTCTAATGAAACTCCTGCTGTGCGAGAAGAAAATTAGAGAAGACGAATGCCTTTTAAAAATGAAGTGTTTTTATAATATAAAATTTAAACTGGAGGAGGACATGGAGAGAGAGTTTTGTGGAGATGCTTAATATGCAAAGCCTTCTCCGACTTTAGATATTGATGACAGTTTGTAGTATAATTTTCTTTGCACATACTCTTCAGAGCATTTTCATCCATGCATTCATCTAACCTTCACATTGACCACAATTTTGTAGATGAGGAAGTGGAAACTCAAGATGTCAAGCCTTGTTCACAGGGACACAGCTGGCAAGTGGCAGAGCCAGATTCCAGTTTAGGTTTGCTGACGTGAGGCAGATGCTTTTCCATTGCTCCATAGGTCCATTACATTTATTATCATTTTAAAGCTACATTTTTTATTACCTCAGAACTTCCTGCACTCATTTTTCTTGACACAGAAGAACCCTTAGCAGGACAATGCTCATCAGCTATTATTAAAATTGTTTTATTTTCACAGACACCTTGAATCATATTAGTCATGTAGAGAGCAAAGTTTCTCATTCTTTCATTCAACAAATGTTAATTGAGCACTCTTTTTGGAATTGGAGGTATGATAGTGAATTAAAAAAAAAAAAAAATATATATATGTATATATATATATATTTTTTTTCTTGTCCAATCTCTTATATGAGACTGTGAGATCCCTGAAGGGAGAGTCTATGTTTAATAAATAAGAATAAATGTTAATTGGTGAGAAGTGCTATGAAGAAAAATAAAGCAGAGTTCCATTTCCATTAAGTTCAAAAACATGAAAAACAAAATAATGTATTATTTAGGGAGATACATATATTTATATATCTAAATAATATACATCTATATGTAAAAACAATAAAGGCTCAAAGGAATGATAAAATTTGGAATAATGGTTACTACTGAGATAGAAAATGGGATGGAATAGAGAGAAAGACAGATGTTTAAAAATGTTAATAATTATTATAGACTGTGTCCCCCTCCAATTTTGTATATTGAAAACTAATTCCTCATGTGATGATATTTGGAGGTGGGGACTTTGGTAGATGCTTAGGTGATGAGGATGGAGCCTTCATGAAGGGATTAATGCTCTTATAAAAGAGCCCATAGAGTCTCTGCCCCTTCCGTAATGTGAGGACACAGTGAAAAGATGGCAGTACGTGAACCAGGAGGTAAGCTCTCACCAGACACCGAATCTGCTGGTGCCTTGATCTTGGACTTCCCAGCTTCCAGAACTATGAGAAATAACTCTTTGTTGTTTATAAGCCTCCTAGTCTGTGGTATTCTGTTATAGCAGCCTGAATAGACTATGGCAGTAATATTTTATTTAAGTTCTAAGTTTGTGAGTGTGAATATATACATACACACTTTTTAATACATGAAAGATTTAAAAATCTTTAAAAAAAGAAAGTAGGTTTGTGACCAGCAATTTCACCCCAAGGTATATACCGAACCGAATTGTGTGCATGTGTTCACCCAAGGACATGTATTGGAATGTTTGTAGAAGCTTTATTTCTAATAATTCAAAATTGGAAACTGCCAAATGCCCATCAATGGCTGAATGGATAAATTGTGTCACATTCACATAATGGAACACTATAAAGCAGTGGCCCCCAATCTTTTTGCACTAGGGACTGGGACTGGTGAGAATCTAATGTCTGATGATCTGAGATAGAGCTGAGGCAGTGATGCTAGCACTTGGTGAGTAGCTGCAAATACAAATGAAGCTTCACTCGTTCCCTTGCCAGTCATCTCCTGTTGTGCACCCTGGTTCCTAACAGGCCAAGAACGGGTACTGGTCCATGGCCCATGGGTTAGGGACCCCTACTATAAAGCAATGAGAACAAATGAACTAAAATGACACATAACCACACGAATGAAACTTGATGTTGAGTAAAAGAAGTCAACTACAAAAAAGTACATTCTGGATGATTCCATTTATGTAAAGTACAAAAACGGGCAAAACTAATTTATGCTATTAGAAATCGGGATGGTGCTTATCCATTGGGGAAAGGTTAAGACTGAACAAGAAGGGTATTTCTGGGCATTGTTAATGCTGTTCCTTGATCTGGATGTTGGTGTTTTGTGTGCGTTCAGTTTGTGAAAATTTAGTGAACTGTATACTTATGATGTGAACTTTTCCTGTATGTGTATTACACTTGAATTAAAAGGTAAAAAAAGGTCGAGGACAGCCGGTCAAGATGGCTTAGAGGATGGAAGCATTGTACATTTCCTCTTGGGACCACACCAAAATTGTTTCAAAACCACAGAGCAAGCAGTCGCCTAGGATCTGGATGAGCAGAAGCCTTACAACTAAGGAGAGAATTAAGAAATCACCTTGGAACAGTAGTAATGAGCAGAGATGAGGGCTGCCTGGTCCCATGTGGGCTGAGTGATACAGAAGTTACAGAAGCTGCACTGGGCAGGTGCAAATGTGTCTCTTAAAGGGGCCGCGACCACGACTGGGCCTTCATGGTGACGGATTCACTCACCCTGAGCTCCAGCACTGGAGTGGCTGCTGGGCAGGGGGTGCCAGAGACATAAAGGGGCACACTGAGTTATAGGGCTTCATGATGAGGGCTGAAGGAGTGGCTTTCTTTGGGGCAGAAGTGCTGGCAATATCCACTGATCCTTGGATGATCTTTCCCACCCCTAGCTTGCAGACATAGACCTGCCATAGCTGAGACATCATCAAACTGGATAACAGAGGTTGCTCTGCCCAAAGGACTTCCTGAAACTCTGCCCCTTCCAACTTGTGACCCTACTCAAGTCACATCCAGTCAGGTCCTTGGCGTGCCTTGTGCTCCTTGCTGAGTAGCTCCAAGCCCCACACTGGCGGCAGCCGGCATCGGTTTCTGACATGGCCTCTTGAGGCAACAACAATCACAGCCCAGATGGCAAACCATCTGTGGATTGCTTGCTGACTCTTAGCAGGTGACCCTGGAAGGGGCACAGGCTGGGGCTAAACTTGGCCTGAAGCTCAACCCTTTTCAGAGCTGTGCCACTGGGCCTTACGAAGCCACATTACTAAGATCAGGAGACTTAGGAGCTTTTCATAGTATGTAGAAACAGACACAGAAATGCAGCCAAAATGGGGAGACAGCATGTCCCACATGAAAGAACAGAACAGAGCTCCAGAAAGATATCTAAACGAAGTGGAGTCAAGCAATCTAACAGATTCAGAGTTCAAAACACTGGTTAAAAAGATGCTAAATGAACTTTTGAGAAGTGTAGATAAAATCAACAAAGAGATAAAAAACGTAAAAATGGAAATGGAAATTATAAAAGGGAACCAGTCTGAACTGAAGAACACATTATCTGAGATGAGATGAAGAGCACCTTAGAGGGAATCAACAGAGCGGATGAAGAGAAGGATCAAATCATCAATACAGAGGATGGGGTAGCAGAGGACACCCAGTCAGAACAGCAACAAGAAAAAATAATCCCACCAAAATGAAGATAATTTAAAGAGACTATGGGACAACATCAAACATAATAACATTACATCGTAGCAGTACCAGAAGAAGAAAGAGAAAGAATTGAAAACCTGTTGGAAGAAATAATGATGGAAAACTTCCCTAACCTGGTGAGGGAAATAGACATACAATCCCAGGAAGTTCAGAGAGTCCCAAACAAGATGAACCCAAAGAGGCCCACACCAAGACACATCACAGTTAAAATGTCCAAAAAAAAAAAAAAAAAATTAAAATGTCGAAGCTTAAATACAAAGAGAGAATCTTAAAAGCAGCAAGAGAAAAGCAGTTAGTTACTTACAAAAGAGTTCCCATAAGACTGGCAGCTGATTTCTCAAAAGAAACTTTGCAAGACAGAGGGCTTGGCACAAAATATTCAACATGATGAAAACCCAGAATCTATAACCAAGATTGCTTTATCCAGAAAAGCTGCCATTCAGAGTTGAAGGACAGATAAGGAAAAGATAAAAGAGTTCATCAACACCAAGCCAGTATTACAGGAAATGTTGGAGCATCTTCTTTAAGAAGAAGAAAAAATATATGTATCAAAAACATGAAAAAAGCATGGCAATAACCACATATCTATCAACAAATTCTTCAAATTTTGCTCCAATCAAAAATAGGGTGGCTGAATAGATAAGAAAACAAGATCCTTACATATGCTGCCTACAAGAGACTCACTTCCGATTAAAAGACACACAGAGACTAAAAGTAAAGGGACAGAAAAAGATATTGCATGATGGACCTAGAAGTTACTCTGCTGAATGGAGTAAGTCAGATAGAGAAAGACAAATGCCTTATGATTTCACCTACCTGTGGAATCTAAAGAACAAAACAAACAAACAAACAGAAACAAACTCAAAGATACAGAAAACATTTTGAAGGTCACCAGATGGGAGGGGGTTGGGGGAAATTGATGAAAAAGGGGAAAGAGATTAAGAAGTACAAATGGATAGTTACAAAATAAATAATCACGGAGATATAGTATAGCATAAGGAATATAGTAAATAATATTGTATAACATATGTATGGGTGCAGAGGAGTACTAGATTTATTGAGATGATTACTTTGTGAGTTATATAGATCTCTAATCATTGTACTATACATCTGAAACTAATATAATATTGTATCCCAACTATAAGTGAAAAATAAGAAATTTTATTTTTTAAAAAATACAGGGAAGTACAAAGAAGACAATAAAAGCATCCAGAATCCAACCGGCGGGGGGAACGGTTGAGGGGGAGGATATAGAAGGTTGGCGGTTGTGGTGGGTATGCTATTTTATATCAAGTGGGTAGAATCAGCCTCTATGATGAAGTGACAACTAAACAGAAATCTGACAGAGTGCACCATGTTGTTATTTATCTACACGGGGGAAGAATATTTTGGCGAGTGCTTGTGTGACTTGTCTTAGACTATGAATTCCTTGAAGGTAGGCCCTGATCTGGCTTTAAAATTTCAGTGTTTACCTCAGTACTTAGCACATTGTTAATCTAAAAATTGAAAAAAAAAAATTTTATTGTCTCAGTTGCTCCCAGGGCTTCTTCCTGGTATTAGAGACTTTTTCTTTGGCTTCATCATCTCTAATTCTGCTCTTTGCCCTTCCATGGTACTTTCTTCTTTTGAAAAGGAGGAAATAAATCCTGAAATGTGAAATAATGTGTTTTTGTCCATCCTAGTTGCAGAGCTGGCTTCCCACTTCTTGTACAAACCATTTCCACATGATCCCATTGCTCCTTCTCTCAGCCTAGTAGAACATCCTGACTGGAAACCACACATACCTTCATTTACCCCCAACTCAGCCCCTCCCAACACACACCTTGCCCCACCAGGAGTTAAGGGGCTCATACCTCTAGTGTGGCCACTTACTACACTTCACTGCAATTCTTTGTTTACCTGCCTAGCTCGTTTACATACTGAGCGGCATGGGGGTCAGGGCTGTGACATTTTCAACATTTATGCCCAAAGCACATGACTATTTCCCTGTAGTCTTTGAAAAGTGCTGGTTGAATATGTCTGGGTTAAGAGAATCAAGAAAAGCAGAATTGGGGTTGGGAAGTCTGTTGATGAATGTTTAATAGGGTAATAATCGAAAGATAAAAGGAAAGGAGGTTGTGTGTGAAAGGCAAGGAGGTCTAGTTTCAAAGCAAATAATTTTTAAAAATCTGGATTGAAGAGGAGAGTGCTAAAGGAGGCAGCAAAGACCCCAATCCAAAAGAAACTAGCCATATGTTAACCACTGTATCCATCAGGGTTCTCCAGAGAACGAGGGAGAAATAGAGACAGATTTTAAAGAACTAGCTCGTGCAATTGTGGGGCTGGTAAGTCCAGAATTTGTAGGGTAGGCTAGCAGCCTGAAAATTTAGGGAAGAGTTGATATTGCAATTTTGAGTCCGAATTCCACAGGGCAGCAGGATGGAACTTAGGCAGGGTTTCTGTTATCACAGTCTTCAGGAAAATTTCTTCTTCTCTTGGAAACCTCAGTCTTTTCTCTTAAGGCCTTCGACAAATTAGATGAGGCCCACCTACATTATGGAGGCTAATCTGCTTTTTTCAAAATTAAATATTCATCATATCTAAAAAAAGACCTTCACAGTGTACGAGAGGCAAAATTTTACCTCTACCCTTTTAGGGTTTTTAGCTGGGTCCAAGAATTAAATTGATATAAGTCAGATTAACAGGAGAAAAGCATATAAATTTATAATATAAATTTTAAGTGACACGGGAGCCCTCATAAGGAAATGAAGACCCAAAGAAATGGCAAAACCTAAATGCTTTTACACTAGTTTGAACAAAGAGAGGCAGTTGTGGAAATATGACTAAACTATGTGAGGAGTCTAAAGGAAGATAAGAATTATTTTAATAAGACCTGTTTTATAGAATTCTCTAAGTCTCAACTTCCCATCCTTGATGAAAAGAATATTATTTTCCTCTGATATAAGGAGGACATTTTCCATGTGAGAGTTCTACCTCTAAACGTATTTAAAAATACGTTTAGCTCAAAATAATGTTTTTGTCAGAGGCATATTTTGTGGTGACATATTCTGATTAACTTCAACAGCAGCATCTAGACCGTAGCCTAGCCAAATTGACATATAAAACGAACCTTCACAGCCATGAAAACAGAGACGGTGGGTGTACCTTTCCTGTGACAGTCTCTGTTGCAGCATTCACAGCTAGGCCTACACTCCTGAATAGTTCTTCACTCTGATTTTCCCTCTTTTACTCCCGCTCCTCACTCAAGAGTATTATGGGATAATGGAGCAAAGGGGAAGGAATGTGCTTTGTAAGTACATATTTTCCAGAAGCATTGGTGAGCCAGAAGGGAAGGAATGTATTTGAGTGTCTGTGGCCCGGCACCCTGTGAGCATTGGGAGCTCATATAATGTTGCAGTCCTTGGTTCTCTGTGGCCAAGAGGGGACAAAGCATATTTGGTATAGTCAGGCTCTCTTAAAACCCAGGTCACTTCCATTTCTCAAATTTAGCAGTATGTGAAAAACCAAAGAGAAACAGAAGCAGGATTCCAAAATTGTCGCATAATTGAAATAATTATATTTAACAAATGAATGCTTTTAACAGAGACATTACAAAGCTTTATGATTTTGATAGTCATGCAATAATTGCAGAGTTTAACAAGTTAACCCATGGTGCAGAATGCAGTAATGAGACACCAGTTAGGTTGTAAGTTGAAAGTCTCCTTCCTTTCTTATGGGCATGTCTCTGGCTAAATATATAACCAACTCCCTTTAGAGAAAATGTTCAAAACCTACATTTGAGGCTCTTTGTGAATGTAAGGCCCAGGCAAAAGTCTCTTTCACCCTGGGCTAGGCTCCAGATACGGCTTTATAACATGCTTCAATTTCTAGTTATTCTTGTGACCCTAGGGAGGGAGATCTCAGACAGAATTAATAATGTGGTTATGAGTCACAACTTCAGTCCTGGCCTCATACTTTTTTCCCAGTTATAGATTCAACTCAACTAAATTGAAATTTCTTCCAGGACTTAAGTTTTTTTCCTTACGGCTAGAAAGGATTCATTTTTCATTATCGAGAACTGTTCTGATCCAGGGGCTGTGGATAAAACAGACAAAGATCTCTACCCTCATGGAGCTTATATTCTAGCAGATGGAGACAGAAAACAAGCAGTACACATGAAAATAAAATAAAATAGTATGTTAGAAGGTAGTAAGTACTATGAAAAAAAAGAAAAGCAAAAGTAGATCAGGGTAAATGGGGTCCCAAGTGTGGAAGTAAGGGGGACATGCTACAGGTCATGATAGGCCTCTCTGAGGAGACACTAAGAAGAGTCAAGCAAAGACTGGAAGGAGGTGAGGGAGTCAGCCTGGAGAGAATCCACAGCCGAGGTAACAGCCAAGGCAAATGTTCAGTGTGTGCACATGTGCATGTACGCCTGATGTACTTGAAAATCAGCAAAGAAGCCAATGTGATTAGAGCTGAGTGATCAAGTGGGAGAGTAGTAAGAGACGAGCTAAGGGAGGTAATGGGGACCAGACTATGTAGGGTTATGTAGGAATTTGATTTTTCCTTTAAGTTTGTTAAACTTTTCAAAGTCTCCC